TTGCCAAACAAGTCAAGCACCCCTTCAGAAACCTCCTCAAGAGGAGGAATCGGTCCCAACTCATCATCGCTGTGGCCTTGCAGGTTTGTTCTTCTAACAATTCTCTATACTAGTTTCCTAGTTCAAAAACTATGCAGTTGAGAGTGTGTCAATCCATTGTTTAACATAACATTAGTAGTGTTGGCACACGTTACTTGTGCTCGAGTAAAACAAATAGATAAGCAGTTATGAATTGAAACAATTAAATAAGATAGAAACTGTTCCAATAGTTATAGTGTGCGCGGACTTTGTGTACACTATATAGGTAGAAAAAAAGGGTACCTCAATTGCAACAAATCAATTTATAATTTGCAATACTAATTCATGCAATGCTTTCCACAGATCTTCCAACAATTTACCGGCATCAACGCCATCATGTTCTACGCCCCGGTTCTCTTTGACACGCTTGGATTCAAAAACGACGCCTCCCTCTACTCGGCGGTCATCACGGGGGCCGTCAACGTCATCTCCACCGTCGTATCAATCTACTCAGTCGACAAAGTCGGCCGCCGCTTCCTCCTCCTCGAAGCCGGAGTTCAAATGTTCCTCTCCCAATCAGTCATAGCCGTAATCCTAGGCTTGAAAGTCAAGGACCACACTACCGACCTCCACAGTGGCTACGCAATCTTTGTAGTCATCATGGTGTGCACTTTTGTGTCAGGCTTCGCATGGTCGTGGGGCCCGCTGGGCTGGCTTATCCCGAGCGAGACGTTCCCGCTCGAGACTCGCTCAGCAGGCCAGAGCGTGACGGTATGTGTAAACTTGCTGTTCACGTTTGTGATTGCGCAGGCTTTTCTTTCGATGCTCTGCCACTTCAAGTTTGGGATTTTCTTGTTCTTTTCGGGTTGGGTTTTGGTGATGTCTTTCTTTGTGTTCTTTTTGTTGCCGGAGACGAAGAGCGTGCCGATTGAGGAGATGACGGAGAAGGTGTGGAAGCAGCACTGGTTGTGGAAGAGGTTCATGGATGATGATGATGAAGTGGTGGTAGAGATTGGGAAAGTTGATGGTGCTGCAAAGAAAAATGGTCATAGCAATGGATTTAACCATGCGTCACAGTTGTAGAACTTGAAATTGAAGCTATTCAGGAACATTTTGTGGATACTTGAAATAAATTAATTGATACACATGTTTTATCAGTTATATTGTTGTATATAGTTTCAATTTAGTTTCCAAGACCATTAAGCTGTTTTTTTTTTTTAAATATATGTGCTTATATACAAGGGGAATTTACGTGTAAGTCATAATAAGTGAACTTATTATCCAATAGGTTCTATGATAACAGGACCTAGATCTAGCCGAATCTGATATAGATCTACTCATCTTCTTCGTTGGAAACATATCTTCTTTACCGTCGGTGAGGGTGAAGCAAAGAATCAATGGTCAGTAGTTGCCGGTGAATCATAATCGATGGTAATCGTCGATCACCGGTGACTATATATCAGAAAGAGAAAGAGAAGAAACAAGACGTGATTGCCTGTAGATGATCACCGAAAATCAAAAAGAGAAAGAGACAGAGAAGAACAAAGGCTGAGAGGAAGAAAGACGTTATAGGACTTTTGAGTATAAACAAAAGGTTGTTGGACTAAATAAGCCACTCCTTTTTTAAAGAGGACTTCTTGGTAATTTCCCTATAACTAAAGACCTTTTCAATTATAATTAAAATAATAATTACAATAGACCATATCTAATATTACAATGAATTATAATCAAATCATAACTAACATTACAAAAATTTATAACTAAAGACTACAACCATCATAATTAAAACATATAATAGACGGCTCAAAATGAAATGTAAATTGTAAAATTTTCCAAAATTTAAACCTCTTATTTCCTCTTTGGAGCACATTGGGCTTGTAATTCACTGGTTGGTTTTGGTTTCCTTGGACAATATCCATGCTTATTTTCTTATTTTGGATAAATAAATTTCAAGTAAATTTACTACCAATACCAAAAAAAAAATTTGAAAAATAAATTCATAAATATTTTTTATGTAATATATATACACATATGAATATAGTGGAATCGATCTTAAAAAATTATAATTTAAAAAAAAAATCGTGAGACTTAATAATATTATGCTCGGTCTTTATATTGACCACTATGGTGGTTGTGAGGGTAATTTGTGAACAAATTGGGCTGAGTTAGGACGAGTCTTCCTTGGAAGTTGGGCCGCGCAATGGGCCGCGCAATGGGCCGCGCAATGGGCCGCGCAATGGGCCAAGTAGGTATTTTGTATTTCGGCTTTGGGCCGAGGTAGGTACCAGGATGGTTGGATGTGTTGCTGGAATTGATACCTATCTACCTTCTGACCGAGATGATAGCAAGGCGATGCGCCGAGCTGGGTGTAGCTCGGTAGGATGCCAACCTGTGGCAGGGTCATCACGGCTCGCCCATGTTGATCACGGAGCCGAAGTAACTTGGTTGACCGCAGTGTCAGGCGAGATAAAAGGTTCAACCATCTTACTTGACTTGCAGTGATGAGAGTGTTTTAGGGATAATCATTATCCTTGGGCTTGAGACTCCTAGAAGGACTCTGCTAAGGAGAGTAGAGTCCTACTAGGATTGTGTAAACCATCTCACTTGGTTAGTAGTGAGTAGAGTCTTATCAGGATGGACATTCTTCACTGAGAGTGTGATTCCTAGGAGAACTCTTATAAAGAGAGTTGGAATCCTACTAGGATTGTGCTAGTCAGAATCTATAAAAACTCATAGCAGGACTTATGTACAGGTATCCTAATTCTTACTCTGAAATAAATAGAGCTTTTGTGTCTATTGTCTATTTGCTGACTTAGGCATTGGAGAGGTTTCTGGCACACACCCGCCGGTTAGCTCACGTTTGTGTTTTCAGGTGGCAAAGCGACGACGTTTGGAGGAGTGCAAACTTTATTAACAGGATTATACGATAAGATTATTTCTATGCTCGTACAATTGGCGCCATTTGTGGGAAATCACACAAAGAACAAACCTTTTGATTGTGTTTCCTCTTTAATTGGATTCTATGGCGCATAATGAAGACTTGCCACACTCTACTATTGATGGGCAAACCTTGGAGGGGGGCGGGAGGCGCGAAGGCTTACCTTTTATCCTGCCTGTAGCAGAGTTAGATCTCCAGCGACGGAACCCGTGGAGGGACACACGAGAGAGACGGGGCCCCAGTCCTCGTCGCTCCCAAAGCCTTGAAAGGTAGAGGCAAAGGTTGGATCCTCAAGTTCTGGAAGATCACGTAAGGGAGCAAGACAAATTGATACGGAGGATGGTAGCAGACATGGAGACGATGAAGCGCCAGATAAAAGGCAAAGAGGTGGCAACAGAAGAGAGATGCAATGGCAACACATGCTCTCTCCACTCCGAAGATTGGACAGATAAGTCACACCATCACAAGTTAAAAGTAGAAGCCTCAGGTCAGGCGATACGCAATCGAGGAATTCCAAGACTCGTTACTCTAAGTCTGAGAGAATGAGGACTAAAAGGTCTTACACAGAAGGAAGTAGCTATCGGCCCTCACATTCATATCAAACGACATTTAGGCACATAGAGTTGCCTAGGTCGGCGGACCTGCAGATAGTGCTTGAGGAAAGGGCTCGAAGAAGAGAAGACACTCAGGCTCACGACCCCCGTAGAGTCTCCGCACTACAACGGTTGGCTCCTAGAACACATGTGAGTGTCGAGGTAGGAATGCCAGAGCCACGTCTTGCCTATGAACCGGCAGACAAAGCGTTAGCAAGGTTGCAGAGCTCACCGTTCATTCCGGCGGTAGAGAACGCACCATTACCCTCAGGCTTTCACCAACCCAAATTCACTACTTATGAGGGAAAGTTAGAACCCTACATGCACCTAAGCCACTTTCTCCAAGTTATGACAGTGTATCGGCGAAACGAGGCTCTAATGTGTATCCTGTTTTCTTCCAACCTTGGTGACCTGGATTTAACGTGGTTTGAAAGGTTGCTAGAAGGTAGCATAGCTTCATGGGTGCAACTAGCGAAGACATTTGTGACCAAATTCAAAACGAACACCAAGACGCTAGTGGAGATTGAGCAGCTTCTCTCTATAGACATGGGCAAGAAAGAAATATTACAGTCTTACAATAACCGGTATTGGGAGACTTTTAATCAAATTAGAGATTACCCTACAAACCTAGCTATCACACAGTACAAACGAGGTTTGCCGGTTGATAATAAATTGAGGGATTCAATGAAAATGACGTCGCCTCTTACTATGGAAGCCCTAATGGAGAGAGTGCACCAACACATCTTGGTAGAGGAAGATGGGATGCGCACCAAGGTAGAGTCCGATACAAACAGCGATATCGAACAAAACACATTTGGCAAAAGTTAACACGGTCGACAAGAAAGACCGACCGCGCAAAATCTTTGCCCAACTGGGGGCAAAGTAGATTAGCAGATTTGACCAACTCTTTCTAACAAATTTGTGCCCAACATGGGGCAAAGGTGGTTGGCAAGTTTGACCAACAAAAATTTTTAGATTCCTTGCCCAACTGGGGGGTAAAGGCTGTTGGCAGGTTTGACAAACAAAACTTTTTTGCACCCTTTAGCTAAGATCAGGATCTAAGCTAAAGGCGGTTGGCAGGTTTAACTAACAAAAATTTTTAGACTCATTGCCCAACTGAGGGGCAAAGGTGGTTGGCAGGTACCTACAACACTTTTTTCCTCTAGCCGAGATAAGGATCTAGGCTCAGGAAGGTTAGCAGGTTTGACCAACACTTTTTCATTCTTCAACCGAGATAAGGATCTAGGCTCAAGAAGGTTGGCAGGTTTGACCAACAAAACTTTTTGCATCCTTTAGTCTATATGAGGATCTAGGCTAAAGGTAGTTGGCAGGTTTGATCAACAAAACTTTTGCATTCTTTGACCGAGATGATAGTTACCTCGACCAAAGCAGGTTGACAGGTTTGAACAACAAAATTTTTGCACTCTTTGGCAGGGATGATAGTTATCTCGGCCAAAATTGGTTGGCCGGTTTGACCAACAAATTTTTTTGAACTCTTGGACCAGGATGATTATCTCGGCCAAAGAAGGTTGGCAGGATCATGTAAGGCCAAGCTAATTAGTTTGGCTAGGCATGCAGTCGGAATGATGCAAAACATTGAAAAAGAAAAACAGTAACCAAGCAAAAAGATCAAAATTTTTCTTAATTGGAAGATGATTACAAAAGGTGGGACATATAGCCTGGTTACATAGAAAGAACGCCTTCTCGTGCGATTGTGAACTCGAAAGGTATAAATGTTAAGGAAAAATTGCAGGGCTGTTCAAAATTTTAGAGGTGCATGACAGTTGTAACAGGAGAATGAGGATAATGAGGGAATGCCACATATCCTGGGAACGATGTCATGCCAGATTAGTGGAAGGACATGTTGAGCAACTGACAAGACAAGACGTGACTTATTGGGGCCAAACGAGTTGTGAAACCAAACAACTTTTTTAGCTCGGCAGAGTGGGGCGTTTTTAGCTCGGCTGGAGGAAAAATAATCCCAATCATGCTACGCAAATAGAATTGAAAGGCAATTTAGAGGGTAATTTGTGAACAAATTGGGCCGAGCTAGGATGAGTCTTCTTTGGAAGTTGGGCTGCGCAATGGGCCAAGGAGGTATTTTGTATTTTGGCTTGGGCCGAGGTAGGTACCAGGACGGTTGGATGTGTTGCTGGAATTGAGACCTATCTACCTTCTAACCGAGATGATAGCAGGGCGATAGGCCGAGCTGGGTGTAGCTTGGCAGGATGCCAACCTGTAGCAGGGTCATCACGGCTCGCCCATGTTGAGCACGGAGACGAATTAACTTGGTTGACCGCAGTGTCAGCCGAGGTAAAGGGTTCAGCCATCTTACTTGGCTTACAGTGATGAGGATGTTTTAGGGATAATCATTATCCTTGGGCTTGAGACTCCTAGGAGGACTCTGCTAAGGAGAGCAGAGTCCTACTAGGATTGTGCAAACCATCTCACTTGGTTGGTAGTGAGTAGAGTATTATCAAGATAAACACTCTTTACTGAGAGTGTGATTTCTAGGAGGACTCTTATAAGGAGAGCTGGAATCCTACTAGGATTGTGCCAGAAAGAATCTAAAAAAG